CCCCCAAAACCCCCCCCAATCCCCCCCCCCCTCCAACACCCACCTGTGCTGCACCACCTCCACCTCATCCAGCTCCTCGGGCACCTCCATCCCCCCCAGCCACTGCTCCTTCTCGTCCAGCCACGCCTCGCACGCGTCCACCTCCCCCAGCAGCCCGTAGACGGCCAGCGCGTCCTGCAGCCACTGCGTCCTCAGCACGGCCACCTCGGCCACCTCCCCGAACAGCTGCTCGGCCTCCACCACCCTGATCTGCGCCTCCACCCCCTGCCGGTGGTCGGGCGCCAGCAGCGCCAGCTGCCCCCGCAGCGCCAGCACCGCCTCCCGCTGCTTCTCCAGCTCCTCCACCAGCGCCCGGTGCTGCCGCAGCAGCGCCCGGCTCGAGTGCTCGTCGTGCCCGAAGTCGTCGCTGGCCGCCACGCGGAAGGCCGAGCGCAGCCAGGCCGCCAGCTCGTCCGTCTCGGCCAGGAACTGGAAGAAGGCCGAGGCCTCCTCCAGGCGCCGCTGGTGGAGCCCGGTGAGCTCCTCCAGCTTCTTCCAGCGCAGGCAGACGGAGCGGAGCCGCTCCCGGACGCCCCCCGAGCCGCCTCCCCCTCCTCCTCCCCCCGGGGGTCGGCGGGCCAGGAGCTTCTCCCCTTTCTTGAGGCTCTGGTGGAGCAGTGCCCGCCGCTTGCCCAGCTCGCCCAGCATGGCCCGGTGCTCGGCCGCCAGGGCGGTGACGCTGCTGAGGTCGCGGCCGCAGGTTTTGTGGGCCAAGATCTTCTCCTTGTCGCCCATCCAGGCCTCGGCCTCCTCCATCTCCTGGAAGAAGGTCCAGAGCTGGCGGGAATCCTCCAGCTCCTTGCGGCGTTTGGCCGCCAGCTGGGCCAGCTCCTCCAGGCAGGAGCGCACGTGGTGGACGCGGTTGCAGATGATCTGGGGGTCGCAGGGTTGGTAGCCTGGGGAGGGAGGGAGGGGGGGGAGGGGAGATGAGGGAGGTGGGCGGAGTCATCGACCAACCCACCCCCACCCCCCCATCCTTCCCCGGAGGGGATCTCTTGGGTCGGCTCTTCTTCAGTGGATCATCAAGAGTTTGGGTTGATCTTTTGACCAAGAGCTTGGGTTGACCCCTCCATGGTCCACAAGACCCTGGGTTGACCTTTCCATGGTCAACCAAGACCTTGGATCGACCTTTCAACCCACACTTTGGGTTGACCTTTCCATGGTCAACCAAGAGCTTGGGTTGACACTTCCATGGTCTACCAAGACCTTGGGTCAATCTTTCAACCCAGACTTTGGGTTGACCTTTCCATGGTCAACCAAGAGCTTGGATCAACTTTTCTGTGGTCTATCAAGACCTTGGGTTGGCCCTTCTTTCATCGTCCACCAAGACCTTGAGTTGACCTTTCAACCAAGACTTTGGGTTGACCCTTCCACAGTCTATCAAGACCTTGAGTTGACCCTTCCATGGTCAACCAAGACCTTGGGTCAACCTTTCAACCCAGACTTTGGGTTGACCCTTCCATGGTCAACCATGACCTTGAGTCAACCTTTCCATGGTCAACCAAGACTGTGGGTCAACCTTCCTGTGGTCCACCAAGACCTTGGGCCAACCTTTCAACCAAGACCTTGGGTTGATCTTTCCATGGTCAACCATGACCTTGGGTTGACCCTTCCATGGTCCACCAAGACCTTGGGTTCCTTGGGTTGACCTTTCCGTGGTCCACCAAGAGCTTGAGTTGACCTTTCAACCAAGATCTTTGTGTTGACCCTTCCATGGTCAACCATGACTTTGAGTCAACCTTTCTGTGGTCTATCAAGACCTTGAGTTGACCCTTCCATGGTCAACCAAGACCTTGGGTTGACCTTTGAACCAAAACTTTGGGTTGACCTTTCCATGGTCTACCAAGATCTTGGGTTGACCTTTCCATGGTCCACCAAGACCTTAGGTTGACCCTCCCCCACTCATAGCTTCCAGAACCTTCTCCCACGGTCCACCAGGACCTCCCATTGTCCACGCCACGACCTCCCAAGACCTTGGCTTGGCCCTCCCCAAGGAACCCATCCTGGTGCCCCTCCTGGTGCCCCCCCCAGTGCCCCCCCTGGTGCCCCCTGTTACCCTCCAGCTCGGAGAAGGTGAGGGCGGCGGCGTTGAGGGCCTGGACCCGCTCGGTCTGGGCGGCGATGTCGGCCTCCAGCAGGCCCTGCTTCTGCAGCAGGTCCTCCACCTCCAGCAGGTGCTTGCCCAGGTCCTTGGACACCAGGAGGACCTGCAGGACAACAGGAGAGAGGCCTTTTGGTGGTCCACCAAGACCTTGGGTTGACCCTTCTTCCATGGTCCACCAAGACCTTGGGTTGACCCTTCCATGGTCCACCAAGACCTTGGGTTGACCCTTCTTCCATGGTCCACCAAGATCTCAGCTGGTCATTCAAGACCTTGGGTTGATCCTTCTCCCATGGTCCACCAAGACCTTGGGTTGACCCTTCTCCCATGGTCCACCAAGACCTTGAGATGACCCGTCTTCCATGGTCTACCAAGACCGTGGGTTGACACTTCTCCCAGGTCCACCAAGACCTCAGCTGGTCATTCAAGACCTTGGGTTGATCCTTCTTTCATGGTCCGCCAAGACCTTGGGTTGATCCTTCTGTGGTCCACCAAGACCTCAGCTTGGCCATTCAAGACCTTGGGTTGACCCTTCTTCCATGGTCCACCAAGACCTTGGGTTGACCCTTCCATGGTCCACCAAGACCTCAGCTGGTCATTCAAGACCTTGAGTTGACCCTTCTTCCACAGTCCACCAAGACCTTGGATTGGCCATTCAAGACCTTGGGTTGACCCTTCTTCCATGGTCCACCAAGACCTTGGGTTGATCCTTCCACAGTCCACCAAGACCTCAGCTTGGCCATTCAAGACCTTGGGTTGACCCTTCTTCCATAGTCTACCAAGACCTCAACTGGGCCACTCCATGGTCCACCAAGACCTTGGGTTGACCCTTCTCCCATGGTCCACCAAGACCTCAGCTGGGCCATTCCATTGTCTATCAAGACCTTGGGTTGACCATTCAAGACCTTGGGTTGACCCTTCTCCCATGGTCCACCAAGACCTTGGGTTGATCCTTCCGTGGTTCACCAAGACCTTGGGTTGATCCTTCCGTGGTTCACCAAGACCTTGGGTTGACCTTTCTTCCATGGTCCACGAAGACCTTGGGTTGACCATTCAAGACCTTGGGTTGACCCTTCCATGGTCCACCAAGACCTCAGCTGGTCATTCAAGACCTTGGGTTGATCCTTCTCCCATGGTCCACCAAGACCTTGGGTTGACCATTCAAGACCTTGGGTTGACCCTTCTTCCACGGTCCACCAAGACCTTGAGATGACCCGTCTTCCATGGTCTACCAAGACCTTGAGATGACCCTTCTTCCATGGTCTACCAAGACCTTGGGTTGATCCTTCTTTCATGGTCCACCAAGACCTTGGGTTGATCCTTCCATGGTCCACCAAGACCTCGCCTTGGCCATTCAAGACCTTGGGTTGACCCTTCTTCCATAGTCTACCAAGACCTCAACTGGGCCACTCCATGGTCCACCAAGACCTTGGGTTGACACTTCTCCCAGGTCCACCAAGAGTTCAGCTGGGCCATTCTATGGTCTATCAAGACCTTGGGTTGACCATTCAAGACCTTGGGTTGACCCTTCCATGGTCCACCAAGACCTTGGGTTGATCCTTCCGTGGTTCACCAAGACCTTGGGTTGACCTTTCTTTCATGATCCACCAAGACCTTGGGTTGATCCTTCCGTGGTTCACCAAGACCTTGGGTTGACCTTTCTTTCATGATCCACCAAGACCTCAGCTTGGCCCTTGAAGACCTTGGGTTGACCCTTCCATGGTCCACCAAGACCTTGGGTTGGCCATTCAAGACCTTGGGTTGATCCTTCTTCCACGGTCCACCAAGACCTTGGGTTGGCCATTCAAGACCTTGGGTTGACCCTTCTTCCACGGTCCACCAAGACCTTGGGTTGACCCTTCTCCCGTGGTCCACCAAGACCTTGGGTTGACCCTTCAAGACCTTGGGTTGTCCCTTCAAGACCTTGGGTTGACCTTTCTTCCATGGTCCACCAAGACCTCATCCTGACCATTCCATGGTCCACCAAAACCTCACCCTGCCCACTCCACCACCTTCTTACCCCCCCCCCCCCCCCCCCCCCCCCCCCCCCCCCCCCCCCCCCCCCCCCCCCCCCCCCCCCCACCCCCCTCCCTCATCCCCCCCCCCCACCTGCATCTCCTCCATCCAGTCGATCATGTAGACCATCTCCTGGAAGATCTTCTGCAGGGCCAGGTTCTGCTCCAGGCGGGCTCTCCGGGCCGCCACCAGCTGGGTGAGGAGGCCCCACTGGCGCAGGATGTTGTCCTTCTGGGCGCTGATCCTCTTGGTGTCGTAGTAGCCCTCGGCCTCCATCTCCAGGGCCAGCTCCACCACCACCTGGATGCGCTCCTGGTACGAGGAGATGTCGGCCTCGATGGCCTCGTGCTTCTTCATGGCCGCCTCCACCGCCGGCAGGTCGTAGCCGAAGTTGTCCTGGGGGTTGGGGGGGGGGCAAGGAGGAGCTTGGTGAGGTCACAACATCCCTCTCTCTGGTCAAGGAGGTGCCACCAGACCTTCAGGGTCAAGGAGGTGCCACCAGATCTTCTTGGTCAACCAGGAGCCCAATGAGGTCCCACCACCCTCACTGAGGTCCCAACACCCTGTCTGAGGTGCCACCACCCCTCCCCAATCAACCAGGAGCCCAAGGAGGTCCCATCATCCCTTCAGGGTCAAGGAGGTGCCACCAGATCTTCTCGGTCAACCAGGAGCTCACTGAGGTTCCCACCACCCTGTCTGAGGTGCCACCACCCTGTCTGAGGTGCCACCACCCTGTCTGAGGTGCCACCACCCCTCTCCCTGGTCAAGAAGATCCCACCACCCCTCCCCAATCAACCAGGAGTCCAAGGAGGCCCCACCACCCTGTCTGAGGTCCCACCACCCCTCCCCAATCAACCAGGAGCTCACTGAGGTCCCACCACGCTGCCTGAGGTCCCACCACCCAAGCCTCGGGTTCCTCGTCCCACCCATCCCCCCAAGGCCCTGCAGGTCCTCCAGGAGCCCTTTCCCACCCCACTCAAGGATCTGATGGTTCTCCAGGAGCCCTTCCCACCCCAGGCCAGCCCCCCAGGGAGCTGAAGGTTCTCCAGGAGCCCAAGGAGTCCTCCAGGAGCCTTTCCCATCCCTCCAAGGATCTCCAGGTCCTCCAGGAGCCCTTCTCACCCCAGGCCAGCCCCCCAGGGAGCTGAAGGTCCTCCAGGATCTGAGGGTCCCCCCTAAGGGGCTGAAGGTCCTCCAGGAGCCCAAAGAGTCCTCCAGGAGCCCTTCCCACCCCCCCCCAAGGATCTGCAGGTCCTCCAGGAGCCCTTCCCACCCCACCCCAGTCCCACAAGGATCTGAAGATCCCCC